GGTTATCAGAAAAACAGGTTAACACCCCAACTCTCTTGCAAAGCAATTGACATCCTCAACACCCATGCCCAATTTGAATACCTTTTTGTGAAAGTACAATGCAAGGGGAAGATCTTTGCCAAAAACTGGAAGTGTAGGCTAAATGATTCCCGCTGCACGGTGTCCTTAAACTCATCTCATCTTCTCCTTTTAAGCTTATCTCTCTCCTCCTCTAACCCTATTCCTTCTTTTCTCTACTGTACACTTTCACCCCTCCTTCTGTACACTTTCACCCCTCTTTCTGTACACTTTCACCCCTGGGTAGTTGAAATAGGACAAATGGGATGCGTGGGCAGGATGAATTGACAGTGCGCCATGAAAAGTGCTGGCCAGCACAGGATTTGTTGTGACATATTTTATGGGGAATGTAGGCAAGAGGTTAGGGCCAGCATTAAGCATGTACTCCTAATATGTCATTGGGCTCAACCCCATACCAAAAGAAGGTACAGAGAACAGTGGACAAATTGCAGGATGAATTGACAGTGCGCCATGAAAAGTGCTGGCCAGCACAGGATTTGTTGTGACATATTTTATGGGGAATGTAGGCAAGAGGTTAGGGCCAGCATTAAGCATGTACTCCTAATATGTCATTGGGCTCAACCCCATACCAAAAGAAGGTACAGAGAACAGTGGACAAATTGCAGAATATATAAATTGTTTCCAGTAGTCACTCTATGGCTTATCGAGAGTGAGAACCTATAGAAAAAGAAGTGGCTAAATATCAAAGAGAGACACAATGGTGGACTATAAAAACAAAATGCAGGAATTTCATATATACACATTATTTCACATTATTGGTTCTGTATTCCAAGGATCATGCTTCAATTTCATATCGTGTACAGCTGTTGTTTTTATTTATTGGATGCAGAATCCTGGCCTCTCGTATTCCTATGTTTGGTAACTAGGTTGCTTTTTCTTTATCCGCTAAAGGGAGATTTGCCCTTAGACCTACTTAGACTTGTAGGTCCCAGACATGCCCTTTCTGTAGTGCTTCCTTACCACAAATGCAAAAACACTAGAATGTTAGTCTGTAAATCAGAAAGTCCATCACTAGAGAGGGATAGTCAGTACATAGTTCAGAAAGCAAATCTGCTTCAACAGTTACTTTAATTTTCCAGTTGACAGATTACAGAGTAGAGAGTTTACATTGTGGTTTTTTTTTTGTGGCTGCATTCCAAACACTCAGAACTGCTTGGCAAAACACAGCTGTGAGTCATAAACACTGCCTGTCAAAGACAGCCACAATGATGAGGATTTTGACCCAACATTACTTGTTTCAACCATAAACTCACCAACTTCAGGGTTTCAGGTTATTTGGGAGCGGATATTAACCTCCCTGGCGGTAATCCCGAGTCTGGCTCGGGGTGAATTTTCCATGCTAGGAGCGGTAACCCCGAGCCAGACTCGGGGTTGCAGAGAAAAGTGACACTCACCTTGTCCTTGCGATCCCGCGGCGCCCTCTGCTGTACGCGGCCCGAAAATGAAACTAAAAGCCGGCATCTGACTTTTAGTTTCGTTTTCGAGCGTCACAGCAGGCGGGAAATTCAAAAGCTAAAAGTTGCAATATACACAGAATACACACAATACAATGTAATCTGCTATGATTACACTTATGTATCAAACTATTTCACTTCAATTTTAATTACAGTGCCACGGTCTTGGTGATCACACAGAGCAGACGAAGGTCGTTCTTCGTCTGCTCTAGGGGCTCAATGGTACCCGAAAACCACGGTACTTGTATTAAACGAGCAGCTGCTTCCACTGTACGTTTAGCTAAATGTACAAAAAACTAGGGATTCGCTCCATAAGACGCACACACATTTTTCCAACCGCACGGCCCGCTCAGCACTGCAATCATCGAAAGCCCTCCCCCTCACACACATAAAATAATATACCCCCCCCTTATTACCCCCCCACACACACAAAATAATACGCTCCCCCCTTATTAAGCCCCCCACACATATAAAATAATGTACCCCTTATTAACCCCCCACACATAAAATAATACGGTC